ATGTTTCTCACACTGCAAGTCATCCTGGAAGCATCAAGTTAAAGAAAAGAGCTTTTTTAAAGCTCCTATTTATTGAGACAGGATCTATGCTGGTCTTGAACTCCTGGGCTCAAATGGTCCTCCTGAGGTTTCCTGTGACTGATTTATTTCACTTGGCATATAATGCCATCAAGGTTCCTCCATGTCGTTGCGTGTGACAGGATTGTCTTGCTTTTTAAGGCTGAAAATATTCCATTGTATGTTGGTACCACATTTTGTTTATCCATTCATCCACTGATGGACATTTGGGTTAGTTCCTCCTCTTGACCCTGAGGAGGATTATTTGAGACCAGCATGGATCCTTTCTCAAAAAAAAAAAAAAAAAATCCGCAAGTGAGGCACAGCAATCTGTTTTAAACAGCCCTTTAGGTGACACTCATGCATGATCAGGTTTGACCACTCCTGGGTTTAGATCGTTAGGCAGATATCTAAATTGTTGTCTAATAATCTTCACACTGTTGCCAAATAGAAAACTGACATACTGAGCACTTTCAGATTTCCAGGGCAACTTGCTAGAGTAAATCTGTATTTTGCACTTAATACCAGTTTTCAGGAAAATGTTGGATTACCCCAGTTATAATAATGCTATAACACTAGATCTCTATCCATCTGAAAGTTACCCAAACTCTAATTTATCAGAGTTGCTTCTGAACAAATGCCCACATGAGAACAGCCACCCTAACCAGGAAGACCTCTTCCAGCTCAGCAGATATCTGACTTCTCTCCAGGATTTTTACTCCACCCACATCCAAGCCCCCACTTTTTGCCTCTCTTTTGGGTCTAGAGAGAGTCTTCTAATAAATGGACCCAAACAGCCAGAGACAGAAGTGAAAGCAAACATGCAAACATTCCTCCTGATGCTGGACATCAGGAGCCTTCTTCCTGGGCCTACTATCAACCGCCACAGGCCCTGGCCCCAGGTATCCTCATCCACTTTCCTAGAGCTCTTCAAAGAAAAGAACGCAGATTCACAGATTAGACTTCCCCCTGAAAAGTGGGGGAATCTGGTTTCAGTCCTAGAAATGTAGTTGTGGTTTAAGCCTGTTTTCTTGGCATAATTATTAATAAAATACTCCCCAAATTGTCCTGGCTTAAGTAGTAAAATTCACTGTACCAAAAATCTACTGTTCACTCGTTTTTTAAAAAACAGAACATCTATTGTGTGATTAATCATTGAAATTCTTAAGATGAACTGGATGCTACAACAGCTGCCCTCTTGGGTTTAGGCATTGTTCCTTCTCAGAATCCATGCCTGAATCTGCGGTGTACAATATTCAGGTGCCTCACTCGACCAGTCCTGGTAGTATTTCATCTTTAAGCTTTAGCATTTCAGTTATACTTCCTCTTATGCTTAGCAGGGTAGCCACATTTGCCACAGGGTGACTTCTGGAGGTGGCAGCACTTAGAGACACAGTGGTGACACAATGTGTGTTTTATTGCAACAGTTTTCAAATGATGATGTTCCCTTCAGTATCCTGCTTCTGTGGCCAAGACCAAAGAGTATTGTTACCTCTTAGGTAGGCTTTTGCCTCTCCCTAATGCTTATAAGCAGAGAAGAGTTGATCCTTCAGAGGAACAGGAGACTGTACGACTGTATTTGGTACAGCCTGGAGCCTTGAAGAGGGGAAACAAGACAAGGGAGTTAATTCCTGGGGCTCCTTGGAGAGAAGAACAATCATGTCTGGGAGTAGGCATGGACTATTATGTTGATAAAAATGCGGCTCCTAAGGAAGGGCGCAGTGGCTCACACCTGTAATCCCAACGCTTTGGGAGGAGGCTAGAGCTGGAGAATCACTTCAGTCCAGGAGTTCAAAACTAGCGTGGGCAACATAGTGAGACTCTGTCTCTAAAAAAAAAATTGAGAAGAAAAGAAATTGTGCCCCACCTCTACCCAAAGCTCTCTTATGCTCTAAAGCTCCCACCCACATTTCTCACCCGTCCACCCCTCTGCTTTGTCCTCTGTAAGTCACTGATACTTATGACTCAAGTCTCAAGAGTTTTTCCTAAGGTAAATCTTGCTGCTAGTACAGATTGAGCATCCCTAATCTGAAAATTCAAAATCTGAAATGCTCGAAAATCCAAAACTTTTTGGGCAACAACACGACACCACAAGTGGAAATTCTGTACCTGACTTCACACAACAGGTTCCAGCCAAAATACAATCACAATTTTGTTTCATGCACAAAATTAATTAAAATTGTGCATAAAATAAACTTCAGACTATGTGGATAAGGTATATATAAAACATAAATGAATTTTATGTTTTGATTTGGGGCCCATCCCCAAGATGTTTCATTATGTATGTGCAAATATTCCAAAATAAAAAAAAAAATACAAAACACTTCTGGTTCCAAGAACTTTTGGACAAATGACAATCAACCTGTACATACTTGGTGGTAAGCCTAACAAGGTGATTGCATTGCTTTGTATAGCACATCTTTAAAAATTGTTCAAATCTGATTTAAGGTGCCAATAGCAATTCAGGCCTAGAAATCAGATTTAATGTGAAATATGTGCTGGCTAAAGTTGCCTGCACACAATATGTTCTAATTACTTAATAACCCTCAAAAATATTTTACCTGCACATCTACTTGGTAAAATCAGCCTTCTCTCTGCCCTCTTCCAGTATACACACTGACACTATGACAATGGCAAGGCTGGCTTAAGCCAGCAGTGATGTGCAGGAATCTGGAAGCTTGCCCTTACCAATTCCTGACTCTTGGATGCTTTTCACTCCTCATCTTAATACATGCCAATGTTAGGTTAAAATATCTAACATTTAGTTTGTTTCACAATTAACTCTGTGATAAAACTTAATAGCCTCATTTTCCCCACTTCCTGCCCAAATCAATATACATGTCTCCTTTGAAGAAAGGGGAATGAAAACTAAAGTTGATCCTATGGTTTTAACGTTCCTCAACCTAATGTCTGCTTAAAGAAAGAACCAATCACTTACTTAGATACCATTGATTTAGTTTCTTTGTGCTCTTTCAAATTAACAAATTATAATGCTTCCACTTTCTAAGTAAATTTTTATCATTGATTAGTCCTCAAAATTACTTAAATTTACTAAAAGACCAAATATGTTGATTTTCAGAAAATGTAAACTGCAAGACTAAGACATGGTGTACATGTGTATAACTTGTTTTAAGTATACAGAATAGTAAATTATATGTTCATTTAAATCTAACAATCCTCCAAAAGAATTGCAAGGTTTAGATCTATCAAATGAAAGATAAAGCATTACTATTAATAATCATATATATGTTTTTAATTTTTTTTTTTTTTTGAGAGGAGTCTTTGTCTCCTAGGCTGGAGTGCAGGGGCATGATCTTGGCTCACTGCCACCTCTGCCTCCTGGGTTCAAGTGATTCTCCTGCCTCAGCCTCCTGAGTAGCTGGATTACAGGCACACACCACCATGCCCGGCTAATTGTTTTTTTGTATTTTTCTTTGAAACGATGTTTCTCCATGTTGACCAGGCTGATCTCAAATTCCTGACCTCAAATGATCCGCCTGCCTCGGCCTCCCAAAGTGCTGGGATTATAGGCATGAGCCACTGTGCCCGGCCTATGTTTTTAATTAAAAAAAAATTTTTTTTAATCTGTTCTGTAGATGTTAACTAGGATTATTTATTTAAAAGGCTGCTGTTTTCATGTAAAGTCTTTAATGGTATCCCCTTAATTTGCCTTCAGGAACAATGGACACATTTCTCATCTAATCACAGCACTATATTTGCTTGTTTATCTCTGAAAACTTACTTTACTGTTTCAACTGGCATTTAAATTTTCTACCCCACTCCAAGATTAGATGAAAATCAGAGGAATCAAGCAACTTTGCCTGACATTCTCAGAACAAGAAAATTGGTGAATAAAATGGACCTTTCTGTACCTAAACTTATAATTCTCCCTCCAAAAAGCATTGAAAAGATCAACCTAATATTGTTACTTTGTAAGTATCAGTAAGCGTTAATATGTACTGACGGATTACCATTATGATAATCAAATAGAATTGTTAATAACAATAAAATAGAGTGACTAGATTTAGAAAACAAATGCTCATAAATGCTTCTCAAAATGTGTGCTTTCGATACTTAAGCTTAGTTCCCTCTATTAAAAATAAAGAATAAAAAATGTTCAAGAAAATAATTTTGTAATAAATAATGAAATGTTTTTTAAACGCTATTAGATTCATGGGTACTTAGAGGTGTTAGCACAACATCTTGCAACTGGAATTTAGCTACTTGTGAACTTGGGAGAGTTAATATTCGGTTGTAATAATGAAGATTAACATGAAGAATTATGCATTTTAGTTCACTTATAAAAACAGCTTAACCATCCAAAGGGAAGAAAAGAGCTAATGTGCTTTATATAGCATGTGTAGTTATGATAGGGCTTAGGGCAGTGCTCTTCAAACTTTAGTGAGCATAAGAATTATCTGAAGTGGTTTTAAAAATGTAGATTCGTGACTCCCACCCCAGAGATTCTAAACTATTAAGTCTAGGATGAAGTCCAAGAATATGCATGTTTAACATCCAATCTCACCCTCAGGTAACTCATACAAAATTAGGATTCAGACCCATCTTGGAGAACACCAACTTAAGATGACAGATGCACTTGTTATTGCATCCAAACCCACAGAATCATCAGCTAAAATACCCATCTTAAGCCATCTTTCATATACTTTTTATTACTTTGCTAAAGAACAAGGTAGATCGCATGTAAAGGGCTGCTGATAGCAGTTAAGATTTACTCATTTCAGCTACTATACTTCTCATTATGGTCCTTAAAAATTGGCCCATAACTTTTAAAATTAATTGATGTTTAAAAGACATGTGGAATTGGAATTGTTTCTTAACTTTCTGTTCATTTTTACTGTCTTCAATATTGCCATTTAATATTGTTTGATATTAAAATGTAATGGAATCACAGTATTTATCATCTGTTCTTCTTCGGTTTCAAGGGAAGACGAGGGAAAACAGGACCTCCAGGAAAACCAGGACCCCCAGGACCGCCTGTGAGTAAACAATGTGATGACTGTCCCTTGGAAGAGTCCCTCTTTATATCTGTGTGTTTACCTAAGGATTATTTTACTCCCCTGTAGATAATGATTTCCTTCTTTCTTATTATTTAGAATGACTGATTTCAGCACTTGGATAAGTAGTTCATACTCCCTATACCCCTAACACCATCGTCACCATAAACCAAGAGATAAGGGAGGCTGGTAAATGTCCACACGCCTCACTCACTTCTTTATCACAAGGATGGCAGTAACTGTAGTGTCTGCTTGAACATCCCAAGCCAAGTGTCCAGTTAGATGAATCCTGTTCTGCACCTACCTGAACTCCATCTTCTTGACTTCTTAACATCCAGGCTGACAGGAAATTAGACATCTGGGGAAGCATATCCACTTTTCTTGGTATGAAACTATTTTGTTAGTAGAATTTCATGGAATGGTAAAAAGTGCTATAAAGATCATCTAAACAGTTAGCTTATCTGGATCTTTTACCTCAAGCTTCTAGAAAAAAGGGATTCAATTCCTTGTAGTTCTGGTAACTCTGCAACCTATGAGAGTCTGGTTTGTGTCCAAGCTCCTCCACTGACACTGCACAACCTGTGGTCACCAACAATCTCTGTATCACAGATTTCCTGATCACTTTTCAGGCTTTATCTTACTTTACTGCTACACAGGAATTTACACTATTGACTGGTCTCTCCTTGAAACTCCCTATTCTTTTGGTTTAGCGACATTGAATTTTTTCCCCTTATGCCGGGGGCCATCTTTTTGTCTCTATCAACAACTTTCTTCTGCCCCCTATATGTTGCATGGATTAATGAATGTCAATTTTTTATTTCAACTCATGTTGCGGAGTTCTAGACTGGTACATTTCATTATTTTTTAGTATCTCCACTTGGAAGTCTCCTAGCTACCACAAAAGTAGAATGTCCAAAACTATACTCTAAAAAGAATCTTAGATTTTTTCTTCTTCTTTATCCTCCTCATCTAAATAATTTCTAATTCATGTCGGTTCTGCATCCCAGTAGCCCACAAATCCTCTCCGTCTTCACTGCCACTGCCTTAGTTTAGACCTTTGTCAATTTGAACCTAGATTTTTGAAGTTATCTAAGAGCTGTTCTCATTGCCTCTACCTTTTCCAAGTGGAGTAAAACCTCTAAATCATGACAACATCCAGGTGGGCTTGGATGGCTTAAAATTCTCTAATAGCTTAAAACTATTTTATTTTAAATTCCTCAGTAGCTTCTCTTTTCTTCAAGGAAGATGGATTCCACATCCTCTACATGCCATTCTTGGCCCTTCATGGTTTGCCTTTTACCTTGGCCTATCCTCCTCTATGCCCTTCCTTCTTTTGTAATCTCAATCTTCCCTTACTATCTCAAAAATGCCATAGCTTACAAATGTTCTCCAATAGGCCTATATATGCTTCTCTTTATCTTCATGACGCAAACATTTCTCCTATAGAGCTTTTGCCAGGGCTCTCAGCATTTGAGGTTTCATCCCATGGTCCTGTACCTTATACCTCCTACAGATGTAGCACATTGCTTTAAACTCTTATTTTCTTCATCTGTCTGATGACAGCATGGTGACTCTTTTGAACCTCTATATTGCCACCATTGCCTAGAACAGTCTCTGGCCTAAAGCATGTGATTATTGTTTATTTAATGACTGAGTAACAAATGAATATATTTTGTAGATGTAAAAATTAAGACCAGGTAAGTGACCTTCTAAGGACCAAAAACACCCTGCACCACCACTAGAGGGCCTCAACCCAGTACCTTAGGAATCTTTTAGGATGTGGTCACATGCCAAAAATGAACACGATTGCTGTCCTGTCATTGATTTCATTTCACTTTAGCCATTTTAGTAGATTGTCCTACTAACAATGCATTGGTGTCAATTGATGTGTATTATATAAAAGCAGATTGGTGGGATGAAAGGGTGAGGAAGCATAAGCTGGGTATCTGCATTAGTCCATTCTCACACTGCTATGAAGAACCACCTGAGACTGGGTAATTTGTAAAGAAAAGAGGTTTAATTGACTCACAGTTCCACAGGCTGTACAGGAGGCATGGCTGGGAGATCTCAGGAAACTAACTTACAATCATGGCAGAAGGGCGAAGGGGAAGCAAGCACATCTTCACATGGCAACAGGAGAGACAGAATGTGACAGGGGAAGTGCTACATACTTTTAAACAACCTGATCTCGTGAGGACTCACTCACAAGACAGCATCAGGGTGCTAAACCATTAGAAACTACCCTCATGTCCCAATCATCTCCCATCAGGTCCCTCCCTCAACAATGGAGATTACAATTTAACATGAGATTTGGCTGGGGACACACTGCCAAACCATATCAGTATCCTAGAATCTAATCTTTAAAGGAATCAGCTTTGTCGATTTTTATTTCAACTTTTTAGGCAAAACAGAGAACATAGTGTAAGATTTTTTAAACAATTGTTTCATGCTTTAAAGAAGAAAAGCTGGAATGCTAACAGGCAAGATTAGACCTTCATGTAGTTTTTTAAACCCATGATGCTGCTTTTAAGACAGGATAATTGTTGTCTCAAAGGAGGAATTTGAATGTTGAAGGCCTTTGTGACAGCTTGCCAAATGTCTAAGAGAGAAGAGGATTACACTGAATTCTAGAATGAGTTCTCAACTATAGATCAAATGAGTTTACTGAAGAATTCAGAAGATTAAAAAACATGTGACCATGTGACTGTATGATAGGATTTATAATATTCAGTTCCACAGACTTTAGTTTATTGTGCCAGAGTATCTGGGGGAAGAGAGGTGCTTATTTTATTTCAAGTATAGATTTAGAACCTAAACTCAGCTCTGGGTCTGACACACAGAGTTCATTAAATCCTGAGAACATAGTATTTGAAAAAAATGGTTTATTAACTTTTTAAATATAATAAAATAATTTGTTAGAAAAATTAGGAAAAATCTATGCAGAAAACAAAGTGTTTACTTACAGGTCAGCTGTTGTTTTATTAAACTCTCTACTATCCGCTCATTTTCTGTTCAAAACTGTGGTTTGTGGAAACTGTGTTTCTGATTCTGGGATAACTTCACTAATGAACTAAAATATGTTTTCTCTAATACATGTATTATCAAAACCTTACTTTGAGATACAGTTTTCATCAGCTGGTGGATGTTTTTGAAGTTGTTCATGTCACAAGTTAAATTGATGATATGCATATTAGTGTGCTGCAAAAATCCTATGGAGCACCTCCTCTTAATTACAGAGCCTGGTTAAAAACAGCATTGAAAGAAAGATGACTTTGGGAAGCCGAGGTGGGAGAATCACGAGGTCAAGAAATTGAGACCATCCTGGCTAACATGGTGAAACTCCATCTCTCCTGGAAATACAGAAATTATCTGGGCATGGTGGCATGCACCTGTAGTCCCAGCTACTCAGGAGGCTGAGACAGGAGATTTGCTTGAACCTATGAGGTGGAGGTTGCAGTGAGC